TGGTACACAACCATTTGGCAACATGCTCCGACATTTGACAATTAGAAAAAAATGTCATCCTATCCAACAAGCCCAGGAGCATTGGATGATTTGCCTTCCTCATCATTATCTTCATCACCTTCACCACTACAACCACCCATCATCACCTCATCCATCATCAATAATAGTAGTACAACAACAATAACAACAACAAATCACAATAATGAATCTTCACCTCGAGGTGGAGCTTCCACTGTTGGAAGTGATAATAGTGAATTGTGTGAACAGATTTGCATTGATCAACATTTACTACAAACCTATCAATATGCTGAACCAGCCTATATTAACAAGATTTTACAAGAATTCAAGTCGGGAAGAAAGTTAAAATCATCCCTTGAGAAGAAAGCTACCACACTCAAGGATCATTATTTTGTATTGGATGATGAGGAAACTTTTATAGAGGTAAAGGATTCGAAAAAGAAGGAAACTAAAGTACATGGTATGTAGGAAATATTCTAAACTATTTAAACCTGTTATTATCAAAACAAACACGTACTATTTATTATTATGATGTGTAATATTGATGAAAATAATTGAAATTTAATGATTTGATATTGATAGTGTTTTTACGAGATATTAAACAAATTTGTGGTAGTGACATGATGGGTAAAGCAGCAAAAACTCAATCAAAAGGTTATTTTGGTAGAAAAATAGAGTCACCACAATTGGAACATGGATATACAATTATTTATGGTGCCAAGGATGAACAAATTGATATCATGTGTGAGAGTTTGAATGAATTTAATGAAAATATTTGTTTACTCAATTACTTGATTAGAGAATCAAGAATTAGTTATGATAGAGATCCAACCAAGTTGTTGATTTTAAAACATTGGATGAAAGCTGACGTGAATAATGATGGACAACTGGATTACAAGGTAAGTTTTATTCACATTCAATTTTTTTATTTAATGTATTAAACAATTTTTGCTATTATTAGGAAGTTGTAAAATTATGCCAAAAGTGAATATTGACATGTCAAGTA